TGCCAAAGTCTAGAATCTGGTTTCTTCCCCATGAGCTCCCTCTTCCCAACCGCAAAACAAAGAGGAAAAAGAGGCGCCCCTCTGGCTCTGCCTCCTTCCCAGCAGAGGGATTACTGGTGTTCCAAAGGGCCCCACCACATGCTGGGAACTGATTTAAGCAAGTTACCCATCAGATCTGATTAGCACTTGGTGAACTGGCAGGCTAAGCGCTTGGGATGACTTTCAAACCCTGGGATTCCACTTCCTGGGAACTTTGCTATCACAAATGCCTATTTATGAGCAGAAATTAACCTCTATCCCAAATCATCCTGTCAAGGATTTGAGAATGTATGGCGAAAACACATACTGTGAAGCGGTGACCTATAAATGAAAGTAAAAAATAAATAAATAAATAAAAAAGAACCGCACCAGGGAACACAGAAATTAGAACAGGAAGCCAAACGCGGGGGAAAAAAAGTTGAACACAAATATCTGGGCCTCAATCTGAGATTACAAAATGGCAGCCCCTGGGACAAATCCAACTGAGGTTGCATTTTGTTTTGTCTACATGGAGATTAAAAGACGTTTTTTAAGGCCATTTCATAAAACAGGCAGAGACCACTATTTAAGAAAAGGGATTTGGAAGCTGTAACTGCCAAATGATATGTGTGGGTTTTGTTTTGTCCAAGTGTTAAGACCCAATGGTTTGGATTTGGAAAGTGTGAATATAAATTAAGTAAGGAATTATTATTAATTTTGTTAGGTACAACAATTATATATATGATATTACATATTATACATACCATACCTCTCAATGTTTTATGTTTGAAAATTTTCATCATTGGCCGGCACCGTGGCTCACTTGGCTAATCCTCTGCCTGCGGCGCTGGCACCCCGGGTTCTAGTCCCGGTTGGGGTGCCGGATTCTGTCCCCGTTGCCCCTCTTCCAGGCCAGCTCTCTGCTATGGCCCAGGAGTGCAGTGGAGGATGGCCCAACTGCTTGGGCCCTGCACCCCATGGGAGACCAGGAAGAAGCACCTGGCGCCTGGCTTCGGATCGGCACAGCGTGCTGGCCGTAGCGGCCACTTGGGGGGTGAACCAACGGAAGGAAGACCTTTCTCCCTCTCTCTCTCTCTCTCTCTCACACTGTCTAACTCTGCCTGTCAAAAAAAAAAAAAAAGAAAAAAGAACATTTTCATCATCGATACGCTTACAAATTTTAGCTATGAATGTCCTGAGATGGCTTGCATGCCTCTGGCTTGACACGGTCTCTGTCGATGAGAGAAAGTTCCTCCAAGGAGCCCCTGCAGAGTGTCCCCCCCAGCAGCTCTTCTCAACGGGCTTTAAAGGGAGCAGCCGCCCACCTCCGTCTGTGGGGACCAGTGAGCGCGCGCCTCGAGGACCGACACTCGTCTAGGGACGCACTTGGCGTGCCGCTCCTCTACGTCAGCATCTCCCAGCAAGGAGGAGCAAGCGCTGACCACTGTGCTTCTCAGGAGAGCATTTCCATTTCCTTGTGGACCCAAAGCAGGCAGAGCTGGGAAGCCCTTGCTGGTGATCCGCCTGGGTCTAAAGAAAGCGTGAGCTGTTAGAGCCGCAGGCGGGACACGGAAGGCGCTTCTCAGATGACCCTCCACAAGCATCACTCACCGCTGCGGATCGAGTAGCGGCCCCCGTCAACATACGTCCACGTCCTGTTGCCCAGGACATGTGAGTGTGACCCTCTGGCTCTGGGCAGTTGTAATCAAGTTGAGGGTGGGTTGGCGATAGCTAATTTTGTGTGTCAACTTGACTGGACCGTGGGGTGCCCAGCTGTCTGATCAAACATCTCTTGGAGAGATTAGCATTTCAGTTGGTGGACCGAGGACAGCCGATCGCCCCTCCAGTGGGACAGGGCATCGTCTGGCCCACCGAGGGACTAACTGGGTCAGAGAAGCAGGGGAGGGTTGGATTCACTCTCTCTGCCTGACTGCGCCGCTGGGGCCTGGGGCCTCCAGCCTGAGCAACTCATCAGAACTGGCAGCTGCCCTGGTTCGCAGGCCTTCGGATTCTGCCTGGGACTCACCCTGCTGGCTCGCCTGCGTTCCCAGTAGGCTGACTACAAGTTTGGGACTTACTAACCTCCATAATCATCGTGGAAGCCAGTTCCCCATTCCTTATAGTAAGTCTCTCATTTTCTGCTTCTCTCTCGCATACATATATAAATAAGACACGGACACACATATGCACACAATTGGTTCTGTCTCTTTGGAGAACCCTGAGGTCATATGGAATGAGGGCGGTCCCTCAGCGATCACCTGTGTCCCTAGAGACACACACACCTGGGGAATATGTCACGAGAGAGTGCCATCTCTGGGCAGAGGCTGGAGCCAGGAGTCTCCAGGCCCAGGAATGCCAGGGATTACGGATGACCGCCGTGGCTAGGACGAAGGCCTGTGCCATCTCTTTCTCAGAACCTTCTGGAAGCACTCAGCCACACCAACGGCTTTTTCCAGGCCTGCAGCCTCCGGAGCTGAGCCAGAATCGATTTCTTCCGTTCGTCGCCCCCCAGTTTGTGGTCATCGTCACCCAGCCCTCGGAAGCTCCTCCGTTCCTCTCAGTGCCAGGCTTTGGTGGGGGCGGATCACAGACAACTGCCCTCCTGGTGACTCTGTAGAGGACAGCGAGGACAGGGGTTCCAAGCACTTGCAGGAGGGCAGCCCATCGCTGGCTGGGAGAGTGAGCAGGTGTAGGCGGAGCCCCTGGGGGCAATGAAGGCGACCCACCTGGGGAGTCCCGATGGACTTCGTGTCTGCAGGGCATTCCTGCAGGCCTGGCCCCGCCTGTTTCTGGAGCAGACAGTGAGAGAAGGGCCCACTGCAGAAAGAGGACCTCGAGGTGCGCGGGGGGAGGGGGCTCCAGTGACTTATGAACGCGAGTGCCCGTGAGAAGAACGTGGGCACGGTGTCTCCGTTCAGATTCCTGGGGACCTCAGAATCTGCAGAGGCTCCCGTGGGCGCTGATGAAGGCGGTTAGCGAATGGGGCGTTGGGAAACGTAGACCCAAGTGCACCGACTTAGCCAGAGATACTCGTTCCTGAAACAGATGGGCTGGCATCCCCTTTTAAAGAGACAGCTCCCTCCTTGTGGTTTCTCTTCCTCACGGACAGCCTGAGAGCACCGGCACATGCAAGGTGACCGTGGCACTCATGTAACTCTCCCAACGAGGCAGGGCTGATGCGGCTTCGGTTTTTAAAGGAAAAACTCCCTCGGGACTGTAAGAATGTCGATGGCACGAGGAAGGGAAGGGAGCGGGAGCGGTTTTTTCTTTTTTTCCAATCTGTCACTTAGCAACAACATATGCACGGCTGACAGTTGGCCTCCTCTCCGAGCCGGCAGCGTGGCAGTCTTAGGAAGTTTCGATTCGTGTTTTATCATTGTTAGCGGTGTTTTTGCAAATCGCGGAAGGTGCAACATGTGCATTCTGCTGTTTTGGGAGGGAGACATTTTTAAGTCAGAAATATTTGACTGTAAACATATTTTGCACTGAACCCTATTTTCCTTCTCTGTGGGAGAAAAACCAAAGCTTCCCTAAGCACACGGAGAAACCCAGCTAATCACCACCATAGGATTAGGTGGGGATATGTTCTTCAAAAATAGTTTATGAAAGTTTTAATTACACACACAATCATAAAATGCTCAGTAATTACTGCATATTGATTCCGGTGTGTGTGTGTGTGTGCGTGTGTGTTTCTGGAAATGCTAAAACTATTTCAATATACACAGAATCAATAAACATAATTAAAATATGAGCTCATCAAAACAGTAATTAAATGTACTTAACAGCTTTTGTGGCTTTTCCCCATATGGTTACTGTGGGAGTGTGAATCTGGCACGCTAGATAAATGTAACAAAATACAGTGAAAGCCTCAGAAAAGATTACTGTCATATCATAATACAATAAAACCCGGCTCGGCAGCAAGTCGCACGAAATCAAAAAGTTGACAAAAGGAGTGGTGCGTGCAGTTATTCCACGTTTGGGGGCTGTTTTCTCTATATGAGATTAACAGCATCATGGGCCGCATTCAGGGCCAACTTGGAAGGAATGTGGGAGAGCGCCCTGCATTCCTCACGTGACCATTTCCCTTCCAGGAAAGAGTTGGAGCCCCAGGCCCTGGCTCGAGACTGGGTTCACCATGAGATTCTGGAGCCGCAGATCACGTGGTTCTGAGAGGCGGGGCTTGAGCCAACGCTGTTGCTCCTTCTCCTGTTCATGTCTGCAGGCCCTGGCCCCGGAAAGGTCAAATGAACTTGACCCCTGCCTTCCAGGGGCACACCCCATGCAGACAGGACATGGTGTTGATTCAGCGGGTATGGACGGGGCACTGTCTGAGGCGGGTCTTCTCCACAAGCAGACCCCCATGCAAGGGTTTGACTGCAAGGGCTGTACGCAGGGGACCTCCTAGGAAGCATGGCCAGGGCATGAGGAAGCAAGACCGGGAAGGAAAGGAAGCCAGCACCAAACCAAGCAGGTTGCCTGGGTGGGCAGCCAGAGCCTATTCCCTATGGAAACTTGTGGAGCCAGGGTAGGACCACCCCCTACCTCGCCACTAAGGAGTAAGGGAATTAGTGTATTTATCCTCCATTTCCTACCAGGCTTTGTCCAGACTGCCCTCTCTGAGACACTGCACCCTGGTCCTCTGGCCTGGGCTTGGGCAGCTTAGAGAGAGCACCTCACGGAGCACTGAGGCACCCACAGAGGACCCGGAAGCTCCGTAGGGGCTGCGCTGGGCTGAGTGGTGTCCTCCGGCCGATGGGCATGTCCTAATCCCAGAACACACGAGTGCTGTCTCTTACGGCAAAAACTTGGCCGCTGTGATTAAGTGAAGGATCTTGCCATGGGCACGTGGCCGTGGGTTATCAGGATGAGAACTGAATGCAGTTGCAAGGGTTCTGCTAAGAATTCGAGGGAGATTTCAGACAGAAGAGGAGAAGGTGTTGTGACCTCACAGGCGGGGGTGGACATGACGCGGTGAGAAGGCAGAGGATGCTCTCAGCCACCAGCGGCGGGAAGCGGCGAGGGGCGGACTCTCCCCAGCGCCTCGGACTGAGCACGCACCTCGATTTCAGCCCAGCCACGGTGCTTGTGGACTCCTGGCTTCCGGAACTTGGAGGCGATCGAGGTGCGTAGTTTAAGTCATCAGGTTTGTGATCGAAGCTACAGGAAATGAATACAGGGTCCTAGGAAGGAAAGGTCTTTCCGAGGGGAAGGTCAAGGGTGGGCACAGAGGAAGCAAAGGCAGCGAGAAGCTGCGTTCTGGCCCAGCATCACCAGCTGCCTGTTTTCTTCCTCTCCCATTACCCTGCTGCTTGCAAAGTCTCTTGCAGAATTTTGTTCCCGGGGAGGGGGGGGGGTCATCTAACCTGATGGGTGAGTCTCGTTCTTTCTCTGGCTGAAATGTCTAAAATGCAGTCATGCCTGTTCCATGTCTTGCTGTATCTGGTCCATGGAACATTGGATGCACGAGTCGTCTTTTTCAGAATTCTCTGGAATTCAGTAGCCACACGAGAAACGTGCCCTGTCTGTGTTCTCTTCCCATACCGGAGCTCACCTGTTGTAAAATTTGGAGTGGGATCAGTCGACCTTGAACCCCAGACTACGGAGAAAGTGCTGTGTATTGTGCTGCCTCCCGAGAGCCAGTAATTAACCTCGGCTCTTCAAGTTGAAGACATCGTATCTGTTCAAAACTAAAGCAGATTACGGAAGGGAAAAGCATGAAAAAAAAAATAAACTCTAAAACCTCTTGATTATTTTGGACTTGGGACACAGATGGGAGTTCCTTTTGTGCCAAAAACTCCATTGAACTGCACCAGCTGTGAAGTAAAGAAAATTTGAAAGCATCACACATTGCGGCTCACGGAGGAGCTGCGGGAGGAGGAGGGAAAGTTTTGCAGATCAGTTGTTTCCCGGCGCATCATGTGGCCAGATGAAAAGCCCAAGACCACATCTGGAAGTGAATTGTCCCAGTATTAATATTCATGCAGAGTCTATCTAGAAAGCTGTTTCCTCTGAATTTTTAGCAGTATGGTAGGTCTGGAGGAAAAATGTTTCTTTTGTGTTAAGGAGGTTGTGCTGCAGTACTTTAGAGCTTTCTGAGGATTAATTTTAGAAGAGCATTGGGAATGAAAATATTAGGCCTTGTGCAGGGGTTGTCTTCCAGATACGCAGCTGGCGGGGCCAGAAGTGCCCAACCGCAGCAGGTGCTGTCCCAGAGCCCCTGCTGGGCCAGGTGTTGATCTTCCAGTTGCCGGATCAGGGAGAGATCTGAGGATTTCGGGGGCAGGGGTGCTGGAGCGATGGGGGTGCTGGAGGGGCTTCGGAGCTAAAGGGAGCAGCTATTTAGAGCATGGCCATGCCAGAATATATCTGCTGCATGGAGCCCTCATCATTCGCTGTGTGGAAACACCAGTGCGCCTCTGGTCTCTTCTCAGTAAGTGGGAGCAGGAGGGGCATTTGATCTTGCAGCTAGGATGTCCATGTCCCGATCCCATCGGAGTACCTGGATTTGAGTCCTGGCTCCAGCTCCTGACTCCAGCTTCTACCAGTGCAGACCTTGGGAGGCCGCAAGTGATGGCTCCAGTGATTGGGTGGAGTGATTGCTGTGGGAGACCTGGGTTATGTTCCTGGCTCCAGGATTAGGCCTGGCCCAGTCCCTGCCATCACAGGCACTTGGGGGCGTGAACCAGCGGATGGGAGTTCTGTCTCTATATGTCTGCCTCTCTGACTCCCAACTAAAAATATTTTAAGAAGAAGAAGTAAACCCACACAATGGAGATTCATTTATTTAGTGCACCTTACGGGAGCCTACTGTATACGAGGCATCATGCTAACCAAGCACCAGTTGTACAAACACATTACAAAGTACAGAGGAGTGAGTGGGCAAGTGGACTTGTAGTGATTTGTTTGGGACTTGCAAGACCTTGTTTTATTTGGGGACTTTTAGCTGCAAGTGAAGAAAACCCTACTGCCAACTGCCCTACATTTTGTTGGCTAAAATGACAGAAAGGTTCAGAGATAAATGCTGCTGGGTACAGGGGATCCTGTGTGTGTGTGTGCACGCATGCATGTGCATGTGTGTGTGTGTATGTATGTGTGTGTGCATGTGTGTGCATGCATTTGTGTGCGTGTGTGTGTGTGTGTGTATTTCCCTCTTTCTTTGGCTGATACCCTATCTGAGTTTCCTTGAAAGCGGAACCTGAAACAAGGCCTGGGAGGCAGGAAGTGGAAGTGAGGGAGAGGAACATGGGCAGAGAAGGGAGAAAACCCAGCATGGGCTGCAGCAAGAGCTGGTCACTGCTGGTGGCACCTGGGGCTCGGTCCCATCGGGGACCCTTTGAAGAAGCATGTGGAATTTGGAATTCCTATGGAATTTCTCCAACTGGAGGTTGGGGGAAATAAGGATCTTTATGCACAGATTCCCTGCCCCCCATGGGTGGGGGATTTCCTCTGGGGACATGAAGACTCCCATGCTTGTGGCTTGTGCTGCTTTTGCCTGGGTGACCTTCCACGGCACGTGTAAGGTGGGACCTGCAGGAGGCAGGTGAGTGTCCACTCCAGTTGTCCCCAAAACAGTGGGCTAAGAAGATGCAGCATCCCTGATGTGCGCCGAGCGGGGCTTGCCTCGGCCTTGGCTCCAGTCCTGAGCTCCACCTGGAGGCCCAGCGGCTGCCCAGCACGTCACACCACATGGCAGCAGCCGTGGTGGGAACAGGGGCCTCCAGGCTCCGTGGGAAGGCCAGCTGAGCGAGCCTTCTCTCCCCGGGGTTCTCAGAGCTTGCTGGAGTGGAATCTAAACCTGAGCCCGTGCATAATAATTTCAGGATGTGGCCCAGATGTGAAATTTAGAGTTCACTCATCAACCAAGTTCCAGATTGGTGCCACTCCACTGTAAGAGTGGGTCACCCTCCCCAGGCCTCTCCTGATTTCCCACCATGCACCTGGAGCGCTCCAGACAGTGAATCCTCCAACCACGGCTGTTGCAGGTTTGGGGCTCCGTGAATATGACCAGGCCATCTATCGGTAATTAGGTAACTACAGTCAGCTTGACCCTAAACCTCTGGCCACGACGGGCTGCGCTGTGATTTTGTTCCCATCATTTGTGCTAGGAGGTTTAAATGTCACGGTATATTGGAACCTTTGCTATAGAATGAAGTGCAAATTGCTGGGTTTTGCCTGGCGTTGTTAGCTGGGATTACCTGCCTGGCTCGGCGGCCTAGCGAGACTCTCCCAACCTGATTCGATCTTAATGTCAACCCTACTTACAGCAAAGGTCTCCGTGGGAGCCCAGCCGCTTCCTCTGGGTTCCAGCCCAAGCGCTCAGGCCCGGAGCTCTCCTAACCTTTAGATCCCTGGACCACGTCCCTTTGAGGCCATTTTCTCCTCGAGTTTCTGGTGAGGTCGCGCAGTGTAGACCGTGTTAATTATCCTGGTCGGTGTTTTCATTCTTTCTGGCAAAGGGTTCCCTTTGGTTTTGTTTCCCCGGGTGGAGGAGGGGCCCTGGCAGTTCCGGGAGTGACCTTGGCAGTGGTCTCCACGTGGGGCTCCCTGCATCCGCTCTCTGTCCACAAGTGCTGCCGATATCCTCAAGGCCTTTGAGGTCCGAAGAACTGCCTTCTGCCTCTCCCCTTTGCGGGCCCGACTAAGTTTGAAAATTAGGTTTTCCGGATGGACTGCAGCTGCGGAGCCCCGGGGGTGAGGGGCGCCTAGGCTGGGCTTTCTTTACCTGCTGCGGAGCTCAGCGCCAGGCGCCCAGTGAGACCGGGTCGGCCTGTGGGAGGGGGCGCGGGCCTCAGGTGCAGGGGCTGGCCCCGCACGCTGGCCACGCACCAGGGCGTTCCCGACGCCCACAGGCAGCCCTGGCTCCCTTTTCATTCCCCAGGCATTCGAGGTGGAGGGTACTTCCTCTTAAAATGCTTGAATTAATCTCTTGATACCAATCCCTTTTCAAACTTGTTTCTGGAGTTTTATTAACTTTTACTTCAAACACAGGAGTCGAAGGGCCATGAAAACCCGCAGAGAAACTTGAGTGAACACCTACTATGTCTTAGCGTGGTTATAATTTATATCCCGTGAGCAGTGGTCCGCTCAAAGTGCAGATCCGTTTCCATTTCGAGGTCGGCTTTTTGGCTGATCTAATTCTTTATCACCATTTAGCTTATGAAACACCTATTGGTGCAATCTGACTTGACCTTTCGCATTCCTACTGACAGCTGAGAGATAGATACGCATAAATTAGGATCCAGAAGTTTCCTTTCTGAAAATCAGTGGCTTTTTAACCCTTTTGAGGGTTAAGTAAGCAGCTAAAATAGGTAACCCGCCTGTAGAATTTTCTTCTCAAGTTCTAGTGAGAGGTTTCCCGGCGTCTTGGGTGGTACTTTTCTTATAGTATAAACTGGTTACTGGTCCTGCTAACACAAGCGTGCTTCAGAAAGCTCTGGAAAACAGAATTAAAAAAAGTTAGTTTGTTTGCATTTTTTTAAATCTATGCATGTGAAGAATCTTGATAAAGTTTATAGAAAAGACATAAAAAAGGTATACATGGATTTCTTTTTTTTTTTTTTTTGGCACCAGAAATAAGCTTATCTTGGGGTTGGCGTTGTGGCACAGCGGGTTAAGCTGCTGCCTGCAACACTGGCATCCCATTGGAGCACCAGACTGAGTCCCGGCCGCTCCACTTCTGATCCAGCTCCCTGCTAATGCACCTGGGAAAAGTAACAGAAGATGGCCCACGTGCTTGGGCCCCTGCCACTCATGTAAGAGACCCGGATGGAGTCCCTGGCTTCTGGCTTCAACCTGGCCCAGTCCTGGCCATTGTGGCTATGTGGGGAGTGAACCAGTGGTTAGAAGATGGATCTCTCTATATATGTTGATCTTTCTTTCTCTCATTCCCTCTCTCTCTCTGTAAGTGTGCCTTCCAAAAAAATAAAATAAATTTTAAAAATTAAAATTAATCCCTTTAAAAAATAAATGAACTTATCTTTGATTCTACTTTTGCGCCAGTGATTTGCAGTGAGCTGGGCTGGAGTAGATGGAGCTGCCCAGAGAGGTGACGGCTCTCAACCCCATGCACTGGTGGACTTGAGGGTGACGTCAGAGGGAGAGCTTGGTGATGACCTTTCTCCT